CTGCAGAACCACAACCCTCTATGGTCAGTCAGGAGAGTGAAGGAGCTCACACAGCTTCAAACACCAAACCTGAGCACAGTGGACCATCATGAGGAACCACAGAAGCCAATCAGAAGAGGATCTGTGGAACTGCCTCTTACTGTTTCCTCACTGTCCACTGCAGATCCAAAGGATGGAACAGACCCTTCTACTGTCACTCAGGAGAATCAAGGAGCTACAACAACCTTCAAACCTTTTCAAAAAGGTTCTATATAGAACCATATAAAACATGTTCTCCATCAATCGAAAGAACACTTTAATCATTCGTTCTTTGAGTGTTCATGGTTCATAGAACCATTTTCTTAACCAAAGAACCCCTGAAGAACCACATTTTTTAAGTGTGTGTAAGTAGAGGTGGGCAATGTAAACAACAGCACACGAGAGGTCGTGTGTCATGATGAATAACATCCCGGCTGCGATCGGGTTGCAGTATGAGCTGTTCGTAACACACAGCCTCCAGTGTTCTACTGCTGTAGAAGAACCGTTCTGCTAAATAAAGACACAACTAAAGTAAAGAAGTCTGGAACATCGTAACATACAGGCTTTAATGTTAGCCGTTCCTTCCGCCACAAAAAGTAGTTCCCTTTAGCGTTACAGAGCCGTAAGACTGTGTGAATATCAGGTTGAGCTCAGCTTTTTCAGTGTTTGTCCAGATGAAGCTAAAGGTGCTTTGGTTCCAGTTAGTCTGTAAAGTGTTTCACAGCCCGTCTTGTTTCTTGAATTGTGTTCTGCTGGGTTCTGCCTGATTCCAGTTCCAGCTACCGACTAAAAAACTTGCTCAGAATCAATAACAGGTTCTGAATTTACTGTAACTTAACGTGTCCGTTTCTGTTTGTTGTTTTGTGCTAAAGTAGAAATTTTAGACCGTAGTAGCTGCAGCGTGAGGCCAGTCGTTACTTAGAGACCCCATGATCAGATTGTTTTGTAGGAATTACATCATAATGAGTTTTTCTGTGCATTTTGGAGATTTCGTCAGTTCTTAAAACAATGAAACATTAACTTGCATTAATTAACTAAAGCATTAACTTGGTTGTACCTTCTCAAACCTCAGAAACATGAATTATTGTGATAAATATCATGCAGTGTGAAACACTGTACTTGGATGACAGACGTGAGTTGACTACCAGAACATGGACTGAAAACAAGAAGATCCAGAGTCGTCTCTGCTTCCTGAGGTCACTCCTGCAGGTCGTCTACCAGTCTGTTATTGCTAGAACAGTCTTCTGTACTGCAGTGATGGTGTAGTGATGCTGTACTGATGTTATAAACACTCCAGCAACATCAACACACTGACTAAAAAGGCCATTAGACTTTGTAATGAGTCAACCAGAATTGTGGAACACAGGGAATTATTAATACTAGTAATTATGATATTTCTATAACAGTGTTATTCTGTCCATTATCCCATCAGGAACATGAATGTACAATGTTCACATAAACTTTGTAAATTCCTCATAAATGTAATGTTTATTGACCTTGGTCAGCCGTCCTGCACCTGCCAGTACTTCTGCTTTCATAAGGTATTCTAGTAGCGGTTATGTACTCACAACCTTGCATGGCTATATTACATCATGTACTCACAACCTTGCATGACTATATTACATCATGTACTCGCAACCTTGCATGGCTATATTACATCATGTACTCGCAACCTTGCATGGCTATATTACATCATGTACTCGCAACCTTGTATGACTATATTACATCATGTACTCGCAACCTTGCATGGCTATATTACGTCATGTACTCGCAACCTTGTATGACTATATTACATCATGTACTCGCAACCTTATATGACTATATTACGTCATGTACTCGCAACCTTGCATGGCTATATTACATCATGTACTCGCAAACTTGTATGACTATATTACGTCATGTACTCGCAACCTTGCATGGCTATATTACATCATGTACTCGCAACCTTATATGACTATATTACGTCATGTACTCGCAACCTTGCATGACTATATTACATCATGTACTCGCAACCTTGTATGACTATATTACATCATGTACTCGCAACCTTGTATGACTATATTACATCATGTACTCGCAACCTTATATGACTATATTACGTCATGTACTCGCAACCTTGCATGGCTATATTACATCATGTACTCGCAACCTTGCATGGCTATATTACATCATGTACTCGCAACCTTGTATGGCTATATTACATCATGTACTCGCAAACTTGTATGGCTATATTACATCATGTACTCGCAACCTTGCATGGCTATATTACATCATGTACTCGCAACCTTGCATGGCTATATTACATCATGTACTCGCAACCTTGTATGGCTATATTACATCATGTACTCACAACCTTGTATGGCTATACTACATCATGTACTCGCAACCTTGTATGGCTATATTACATCATGTACTCGCAACCTTGTATGGCTATATTACATCATGTACTCGCAACCTTGTATGACTATATACATCATGTACT